CGCCGGTCTTCGCATCTGCAACATCAGGGAAAGGGGTTTTTGGATGTGTTACAACAGTTGATATTTCAGAAACAGATTTCGAAGCACGCCTGGAAGAAACTACAAGTGCTGAGGGCATTCCCCTACCACAAGTTTACGCTAACCTTGCTCGAGTCATTTCAGGTCCAAATACTTCGTATCTCGACAGCTGTTGCGGTTGGCACATGTGTTCCTCTGAAACAAGCTTCATCACAAACCAGCGATCACTTCGTTGTCCGATCCCTGTCACAGTCGCAAACGGACAAACGATTATGGCACGTTCTGTTGGGAGCGTAATGCTCGAATCAGTCGACACGGGATACTCACTCCACGTTACCAATGTTCTTATCGTCGCCAGTCTTGGGTTCAATCTTCTTTCCACGGCTCAACTCCAAGCACACAAAATTCGCACATAGGGCAATTGTGAAACAATGGATCAAGAATTATGGCACAGCCCAACAAATACTTACCTCGGACGTGCCGCTACTCAACATGGGGTTTCAGTTCTTCAGTTTACGGCACAGGGAACTTCTGGTGATTCTGAACGCGTTCTTGCACTTGGTTGCTGGGATCATCTAGAAGAAACGGATTATCAGCACGTGGATATTGACTTTCGCGCAACTACTGTGCCAACGGCTTCTCGAGCTGCAGCCGCCGTACTTACCGCACTGGATACCTGGGAGTTCAGTACTGCCGATGCAGGCGCCAACGCTTGGCGAACGTTTTATACTACTCGCGAGGCTCTTCAAGGAACTCCAGCTCCACTTTGGGGCAAAATTAGCGGTCTTGCAGCAGATGAACCTGACGTCGATAAAGAAGCTGAAAGGGAAGAAGTCGCCGAGCAGCTGAGTCAAACAGTCGTTGTCGCCGGACCACCTGCCACCACATCAACAGAAGCTGCATCAGAAGTTGCCATTACAACTGCAGCAGCACCATCGGATGTCACGTTACCACTCACCCATTTCGTCGAAGGAGAGATCGACATGTCACCAGCACTTTCTCCTTTTATAATTTCTTCATTTTATACTAACGCCGATTTTTACCTCCGATCATCAGGACACAAAGCCACAGAAGACATCTGGCCTCAGCGGTTAGGACATCCATCACAAGGGATTCTGAATCATTCAATACAAGCAGCAGTTCTTGATAAAATTAGTCTTCTTTTACCTGACGGCACGGAGATGAAGCTGTAGTCCCGCCCCACCATCTGCACCACGTGCCCGGTCGCCAATCTTACCCACGATCCGTTTCCAAGTCATTTCCCTGGTTCCACCCGTTACAAACTGATGCAGAAGGTTTACAGCGATATTATTAACTTACCTAAAGCAAGACCTAAAGATGAGCAGTACATAATAACATTCATCGAAGCATCTACTCGCCACGTCTGGACAGCAAACCTTCCTACTCGACATCTCACCCATTCAGTCTTCGTCGCATGGCTTGCCGTCGTTGAAAGAGAGTCTGGCGTCAAACTGCAAGAATTCCAGAGTGATGGCGCAGGGGAATACACGAGTAACACCTTCACAGAACACCTGCAGACTCTCGGCATCAAACGGAAGCAGTCCCTGCCACATGCACACCAACAGATGGGGGTAGCAAAGAGGATGAACCGGACTTTGCAAGAGAAGATGCGTGCTCTGCTGACGCAGGCAGCTCTTCCGCCTCGTTTTTGGCCGTATGCGATAGACCATGCTGTGATGTTACACAACATGCTGTCTTCCACGTCACTGCCCGAGTTTTCTTCTCCGCACCTGCTGTGGACACATACAGTGGGAAGTACCAAACTTTTACGAGTTTTCGGGCGTGTCGTGCAGTTTCGTCCTCCAACTGCAGCACTCGGCAAATTTTCAGAACGAGCAAAATGGGGGGTACACCTCGGCATCGAAAAACAGTATCACGCATGGAAGTTTTTGGATCTTCGCTCCAACCAAATCGTCCCTTCACGTGATTGTCTTTTCTATGAAAGACTCACCTTGCCTGTTTTTCGTGCCCACCAGGCAGCAACTTCCAACCCCGCCAAGCTGTTCGAGGGCTCGCGTGCATTTGCAACCGACGAAGCTGAAGCTAATGTACAGGACGAAGCAGTTTCTGAAGCCTCCAAAGCTACCGCAACTGATATTCCGGAACCTGCAACCTCGACTGGCATACCAGAGTTTATTCACTCACAGCTTGTCGCTGCAGTACCTTCACTCACAGCTTGTCACTGCCGGATTCCGTCAGCTACCGCATGACCAGGGAATGTATCTTCTAACCGACGGCAACAACTATATTCTACTCGTCGCCTACGTCGACGATATCCTTTACGTCAGTACTACTGATTCGCTCGCCGATACCTTCATACTGAAACTTCAGAAAAATCTACAGCTTACAGTCTCCAAAACATTCTCACAGTTTCTCGGTCTAAACATTACCATCTCACCGACGTCGATTCACCTCACCGCTTCGAAGTACGTAGCGACGCTCACTGCCCGCTTCAGTCTTACTCCTACTGCAGTTTCTACACCGTACCGATCTCTACCGACTGACTACAAACCGAATACCGCACTGTTGAGTCCAACTGGTTTACAGACCTATCAACAGCAGTTAGGCTATTACTCTTCGCCGCTGTTACTTGCCGTCCAGATCTAGCTTACGCGGCCAGTCAGCTCGCTCAGTTCCTATGCCGTCCTGAAGAAGAACACCATCTCGATCTTCTTCGCGCGCTTCAATGTTTCGTTTCGACTCCTAACGTCGGCTTAGTCTACAACGTGGTCAGCTGTAAAACTCTCTACCTACACGGTTTCGTTGACGTCGACCACGCCGTTGACACCACTAATCGACGCTCACGCACTGGGTTCATCTATCGACTTGAACCTATCGGTCCTATCTCTTGGAATTCGACGAAGTAGGAGCTGATTGCTCTCTCCTCTGCTGAAGCTGAATTTATCGCTGTCTGCACAGCAACACTCGAAGGACTTTACCTGCAGGAACTATTGGAAGAAGCGAACGACAAGTACCGAGTTTACCCTGCAGTGCGACAACCAAAGTGCAATTCACATCGCGCATCAGCCTGGCTTCATCAACAGGACGAAACATATTTCACTTCTTTATTTTTTCGTCAAGGATGAAGTCGAGAAGGGGAGAATGCGATTGGTCTATTGTTTGACCAACAAAATGGCTGCCGATTTCCTCACGAAGAAGCTGACACGACAGAAGTTCCAGTACTGTAACAAGCTTTGCGGGATCTTCAAGAAGTGACACTATCGAACTTCCAGAAATGAAGGGGAGTGTTGTGATATAATTCATACTTAGCATTTATGTAAGTCGATAATGTAGATAGTGTCGAATTCTACTGTAGAAGATAAGTCCGTAGGTTGACGTCAGCAAATAGCGCTCGTCATGAGGACAGTCGTTTCAGTCACGCGAACAGTCGCACCTCTTCATTATCTACTAGGGCGCATAGCGGGATAGTGACGAACAGGTACATTAGCGAATAGGTACATTTTCTAGAACTATAAATCCTTGTTGTGCCTTTCCATTATTAACTTTTGATTACCCACAAGTTCACGTACTCAGGTTATTCAACCTTGACTGCTAATTTTACAAGACTTCCGCTGTCTTACTAGTCTTCTATTCCAGCAAAGATCCTGGACTAACACTTGAGGATTTCCAAGTGTTCGTGTTTGCAAATTCTATACTTCGTCTCCTGCAACATCTAAACAAAATACTTCAAGTATTAGGGGCCTCGATAACATGTACGGTCAGTGACACGATATAAACAATCAGAATTAGTGAGTTCGCAACATGTTTCATCAGTCGGGTTCCATCGTTAGTAAAAAACTACAGGAAAAAAATACCATGACTGGTCAGTAGAAGTAACCCTCACCCGTTTCGGAACGTTTTCCCGCCCGCGCCAGCCCAATTTCATCATCATTGTGGCTGGCGCGATATTTTTCTCAAGCTCCAGGCGCAGTTCGAGAGAACTACGTAAAGTATTCCCAAATTAAAAAGCTTTGGACGTCGCGCACACAAAATTCCAAAATTGAGACCTCGCGCATTTCTGTCACATAAGCTAATTAGGCCACAGCAAGCAGCACATCGGTTGCGACACTGTTCAAACATTAACCAAAAAAAAAAAAAAAAAAACCATTTGACACGAAAGGGAAAATCTATCCGGGATTGGCGCTAAGCCAATGAGGCGTGAAAATTAAACTATAGTGCGCTAATTTGTTTCGAGCATGACAAGACTTGTAGACTCGTAATTCGGCAATTTTTTTTTCCGGTAAATACATTTGCTGAAAAAATCAAGACAGCCGGCAGACTTCAAATAGATTCATTGTATTGAAATTAATACAAAATTAAATGCGATTCTGAGAGTACCTTGAAGTGTTTTTAAACATATTCATTTCTCGAAAATAAACCTCCGTAGCTATTTATATATGCTTTTGTTTTCGGGCGACTCGGGAATGACAAGTTTATGGCTTGACTTTTTTTTTTTTTTTTTTTTTGGGTCGTAAATGCAGTAGAGACAAAGCCGCCATTTTTTATCATCACGAGACGCGCTACACTCTGTGACAAAAGTATGTGCTTCGAAACAAAATCGTGTTTTCGTGTTTCTCGACAAACAACGAATTTTAATTTGGGCACATTGTGTTTTTTCGCTCGAACTGTGCTTGGACCTCGGGAAAAATATTGCGCCAGCCACAATGGTGACAAAATAGGGCTGGCGCGGGCGGGAAAACATTCCGAAACGGGCGAGGGTTACTTCTACTGACCATTCGTGGAACTTTTTTCTTGTAGTTTCTGACTAACGGTGGAACCCGACTGATGAAACATGTTGCGAACTCACTAATTTTGATTGTTTATACCGTGTCACTGACCGTACATGTTATCGAGACCCCTAATACTGAGCGCCGATGTATTTTCCCTATTAGTTCTTACCGTAATCCCCCGGATATAACACCCGCGGAAACTAAGCACCCATTGGTGTTATATCCGGGGAGGGTGTTCTATTGAAGAATCCGCAATTATACACCCTCTTTTTGAGGGTTCCAGGAGAGCACCCCCCCTTACCATTTTAGCCCTTCTAAGCCTTGCAGCTCTTGGAACAAATACTGTTTTTTCATACGATTTCATGGTGAGCACGACCATTACGCAAAGTTCAACTTTACCGAGGCGCGCGGCGGGGTTCTCCGTTATTGAAAATGACGGGGTGAAGCGCAGTGGGCCGACAAATTTCGTTTCATTTGTGCGAGAGACTTGTTCTGACTGGTTGACGAGCCTCACGATTTTTGCCTAGCCTATTGCGAGAATCGCCAACACCCCAATCTCGCTTCTCCAACCTGACACACCCCTGATATTCGGGGGCAAGTGGGTGATCTGGGGGTATTCGGAACCTCGTGAAAATGTACGCCATTTCATCCGAAACTTGGATGGCTGAAATCGCCATGAAACACTGATTCCAATGCACATCTAAAAAAATATGTCCTCAAATATAACACCTGGGCGCTATAGCCTAAACGCGAAATAGAGCACCCACCCCCCTGATTTTGCATGAATTTTGTACTACACCCGGGGTGTTATATCCGGAGGATTACGGTGTATACCTCGTTCTACAGTAAAAGTATTGCACTTCGGTTCTAAGCTGCTAGTACACAACCTCCTTCAAGATTCCCGGGCAGCGATCTCACGGTCTGTCGAATCCCGGAGTATGGTTAAACTGATGTGCTACATAGGTTACAGACACCGCATCTCTAAATTTGACAGTGTTCTGATTTTGCGACGCAACAGCATGTACCTCCCGCGGTTTTTTTCTCTTCCGCTTCTCCCTTCCAGTCGCTCCTACCTATCAATAAGTGGCCTCCCTAGCTTCGTAATCAGGCTCGGTCGCTTAGAACCTTCAGCAGTTTCTTAAGGTCGTATGTCAATGAGGTTTAGCCTGTCAAACATAACTTAGTATGTTATTGTAGACTAAATAGGTTCGTGCCTTAGAGGGTACAACACACTAGTCTATATTCCCCTGTACTCTCTCCTTCTCGTCATTCTTGCATTCTAACATGGTATCATGAGTAGGTTAGTTCCCGCTCAGCCACCAGCGCTTCCGTCTTAGGTCCTAGCCGCCCGTCCCCTAGACGGCCCCGCGCACGCCCCGTAGCCGGCCCTTGCGCCCGTCCCGTAGTTGGCCCCCGTGCCCGCCCCGTAGCGGCCCCCACGCCCGTCCGTTAGCCGGCCCCCGCGCCCGTCCGTAGCGCCCCCCGCGCCCGTCCGTTAGCCAGCCCCTGCGCCCGTCCGTAGCGGCCCCTGCGCCCGTCCGTTCGCCGGCCCCCGCGCGCGTCTGTTAGCCGCCCGCGCCCGTCCGTTAGCTGGCCCCCGCGCCCGTCCGATTCCAGGCCCCGTGCCCGTCCTTTAGCCGGCCCCGCGCCTGTGAGAGTACAACCCCATTACACCACTTGTCCCTTCCTTATTTCCATCCTATTTCATTTCACTTTTTATCCTATCTCCATTGGTTTCCTATTCTTCCTTTTTCATTATCCTTTGGTTTATCCTATTATTATAATTATATCATCGACCAGGCTCAAGGTGTAATAGCGCGCTATATCTAGTGTAATCCTGCCGTAATCCCGTAAAGCCAATAGCCTTGCGTGGCTATACGCAGAGTGATTCTATTTCTAGAAGGGTCTATTCCCTTTGGATAGGATAAACCTGGTTACCTGATGTACCCTGGAAGTATAAAAGCGCCTTGTAACAATTGATAGTGCAACTTTTCCTTGACACATTCCATCTTGTGACACTTTGTAATCAGAGCTGTTCTCACTCGGCCGCGATCAACAAAGCAGCAGCAGCGGGAAAACCTGCCTCGAAAAACCGCCGGGGGCGACTAATTCGGCGTCGATTCTGGTAAGCACCAGCTCCGCGTTTTTTGAATTACCCCCTCCGCGCGTGTTTTGAACAGGATGGCGACCTTCGACAACGCCGAGTTTACCCAGCAGCTCTTTGCAAGCATCGCCGCCCTTCAGGAGGAGATGCGAGCCGATCGCGAAGCTTGGTGAAACGAGTTCGAGCGAGTAACTCGACTCGCCGGAGCGCAGCACGGTTCGGCAACGGCGACGTCGCAGCAGTCGCAGCAGTTTCTCGAGGCTCCGAAACCTCGCCCACCTAAGCTGTTCGATCCGAGCGATCGAAATTCCGACGCCCGCAGATGGATCGCCGGGATGGAGATCTACTTCGCAGCCGTCGGATGGAGCTCGCCAGTCTGGGACGGTCAACGTGTACGACTCGCGGCGATACTGATGCGAGGGCCGGCACTCGAGTGGATCGGCGTCAACAGTACCTTCATCCACGGCAAAGCCTCATGGCAGCAGTTCCGCACCGACCTGCTGAAATGCTTAGAGCCGATAAATTCAGGTTTCCTTGCCCGGGAAAAAATTCATCGCCATCGACAGTTCGGGAGTGTAGCGCAGTACAAGCAGCAGATGGAGGAATTTTATAACCGCATTCCCGACCTGACTGAAGGGGAAAAAGTACAGTCATACCTCGCCGGGCTGAAGACCGAATTCAAACGACAAGTACGGGCGCACGTCAGCAGTACGCAATAGGGCGACCGCTCGGAAATCGACAGGTTTGACGGGCGGTCACGGCCGAAAATTACCAACTACACGTGTGATTTTTGCGGAGTGCCGGGCCATCGAATATTCGACTGCAACAAAATGAAAGCCGCACGAGCAGAGTATCGGGCGCGCAACAGTGGCGGAAATCCTTTAGCCAATCAGAAGACAAAAAACGGAATTCGCCAGTGATTGCGGATCTAGCTGACGAAAAAGAAAAGATCCGAAAACGGCCGCGGGATTCCGGGAAAAACAACTTCAACGAAGCTGATTCGATGCGAGCAGGAGGAAATGATGGGGAAAAATCTCCACCCTACGACCAGTCTTCGTCAGAGGAAATCGCCGGAAAAAAATCTGACTCCACGAAAAAGGACTCTGCCGAGACAGGGAAACTCCTTGAAGACGCAAGAAGTTATAAGGATTCGTTAAAGTTATCTTATAAAGATGCTTTAATGAAAACTTATGATTCTCGAGGGGCTAGAGCCTTGGAGAAAATTTGGGAGGGACTCCAGAAGAAGCAAAATCTTGTGGAGATCATACCGGTACCGGAAAACTTGGGGACAAAACTAAGGAGTGTGGAAAGAAGCCGACCTTTCCAGAGCGTCAACGTCCTCTCCCGACACCAGCCCACAACGACTACCCGTTCCCCAAGGAAGACGTCGGTGGAGCTGGAGCAACTCAAGAGGAAGCTGGGGGTCTACACGAAGCTGCAAAAACGCCAAACTCCTTCTCCAGATGCATCCAGCTCAGCAACTTCGGTATCAACGACGCGACCAGTCGTCAAAGAAACTCCGGGCCCTGGAGAAGAGCCTTTCTCCAAGCACTCTCGGCCAGCTGCCAGCTCGGGAATAGATAGTAACGAAAAGGTGTGTACGGAATATTGGGATGTACCCTATGATCTTGCACTCCCCATCACCAATATAAAAGGGCTTGACCTGATCTTCGGACAAGACTTCTTAAAAATATTCAACCCCGAGATCAATTGGGTAAATCGCACTGCAAGCATCTACAACAATGGAAGGAGAGTTCAGCTACCCAACTGGGATGATACAGGAGATATCCCAGTGGAGACACTCGCACGATTCGAGAAGGACGTGAAGCAAACCGACACCGGGTTCCTGGCGATAGCAACAGAGGTGGAAATGTCTTCATGGTTTTGTCGACTCCGAAATGCCCGGAGGTAGGATTGTCGTGGGCTTCCTGTATTAGCAGTGTACGAAGTAAATCGTAACTGGGAACCCAAATGCGCGAAGTGTCGCGCTTATTAAAATAGTAGCCGGTAGCGATGGTGTGCTGTTGGTGAACAGTGGAACGGAAGAAAGGATCGATTTTGTAGCCGTGGGTAAATAGTCCGGTAAGGAGTGGGGTGGTCTGGGCGACTAGTATGGCGGCTGTGTGGGCAGTGGGTCGGGTCAGGGCATCAGCGATGTTGTTGGCACCCCGTTTGTAGGTGATGGTGTAGTGGAAGTTTGACTCGAGGAAATCGAGCCATCGGATTTGTCGAGGGCTGAGGTTCGGCTGGGCTCGCAGGTACTGGAGGGACTTGTGGTCGGTCCGCACGGTGACGTCAGTGCCTGCCATGTAGCACCGACAGGTCTTGAATGCGTGGACGGTCGCCAACATTTCCTTGTCGTGTACTGGATAATTTTTCTCTGCGCCTTGCAGCTTTCGTGATTCATAGGCGACCGGCTATAATCCGTCGCCGAAATCCTGTAGAAGAGCTACACAAGTGGCGATGTCGCTGGCGTCTTTGATGACTTCGTATGGACCAGTCCGTTAGCCGGCCTGCGCCTGCCCCCTCCCCAGCCCGCGCCCGTCCCTTAGCCGGCCCCGCGCCTGCCTCGCAGCCGGCCCGCGCCCGCCCCGTCCCCGGCCCGCGCCCATCCTCTCAGCGGCCTGCGCCCGCCCGTTCTCCACGCCAGGCCCTGACGCCCAGCTGCTCGTCACGTGCAGCCGGCCCCTGCACCGCACTCCACTGTGCTGCACCGCACTGTACCGCACAGCATCGCACTATACCGTACAGCACCGCACTGCGCCGCCCTGCACTGCACTACAATGCACTGCACCGCACTGCACCGCCTCAACATCGCTCCTGATGGCGGACTTTGTGCCGCGGTTTGACACGGAAGGTCAGCCGATCGAGTTCGATACGTGGCTAATCGACCTCCGCCGTCACCTCATTGGTCAGCGTCAGGACGGCCACTCCTTGGCTGTCCACCTTGACGGTACGCTTCCCTGTCCTGACCCCCCGGCTGCGCTGCCCGCTGACCCCATGTCTGCTGATCGTGAGTCCGCTGCCGCTGCTGCCCTTGCCCGTGCAGTCTGGTTGTTGCGTGACGTTATTGCACAGCTCGCCATCAGTCATGCCCTTCCCCTATCTGGGCGTCCCCGCTTTAGGTCGGTCAGGACCGCACGGGAGTTTCTAGATGCTGTTATTGCGCGCTATTCCACCCCGCCCTCTGCCTCCGTCGGTTGCCTGATCCTGCC